CAGGTTCCACCACTCCAATGTGAGAGAGATTGAAACTAACCTCCTGAACTATGTATTATTGTAAACCAGTCATGTCATTGCAAAAATAAAAATTTAAGATAAATGTTTTGGCATGATAAAAATAATAAAGCGAAAAGTTTAGTCTAAGACTGATACTGTTGACATCTAAGGTAGTTTTATAATTTAAAATTAGCTTTCTGCTCCTTCCAAGAAAGATAATGGAAAGGAATGAAAACACTGGCAGGAAAAACTTCAAGAAAATTCTACCACACATTCGATTTCCAGAATACAGCCTCTGAAATGTTTGTCCTGATTGGTGTACAGGTTTGTTAGAACTTTGTGAGATTTTTGAGTTATATTTGCTGTCATATTCTCTGCAGTCATCCACCCTACCCTTGTTCATGGGAGGTCCTCATGAAATGTTTGGTGACTAAATGAATCAGTGAACAGCTCTCTAGTTTGTTGTATTTTGGTTTCAGTACTATGCTCTTCTGGGTGTTGCCTAGATCTCGAAATATTTAGACTTTGAAGTGATGAGATTCACTTTTATGTTTTTACATGATATGAACAAACAGAGCATCTATTAATACCCTACTCAATATTTTCCCCCTACATAGTTTCTGAATATAAATTGTTGAGTTATTTAGAAGAAACATAGTAAGCTTAATCTTAGGGCTCACTATGGAATTAATGACCTCATAGATGAGATTTATTAATTAGTCTGTAAATACTTCTAACAATTTAGCCCTCATATTTCTAGGACATGAGTGTTACTTCTAAATTTCTCCTCTCTGAGAGATGTTTTACTATGAGAAAGATGTAGGCAGCTTGCTCTCCTCATCTTTGTTCCCAATCAATTAAGAAGAAATCAAAATCGTTTTTCCATTATACTTGTGGATTATTATTTGTAATCCATGGTTGTCTTTTATTATTCCTAGAATTTTTTCACCAAAATTGTGAATTTGGAATACTCCATTATAGGATTGAATTGATAGGATAAATATAATTTTTAAACATGTCCCCAAAAGCTGTATATATCAGATAACTCTACCGTATTGAATGTAGACTTCTGGGATTTTTGGTTATTTCGTCCCTGCTGAATTCCAGACTCAGGGTCATTGTTATTGAGATCATCAGATTCAATATTTTTTGTTCCCAATTTATGCTCCCTAATTTCTATCTCCTTTCAAATATCTTGCTGCAGTGTAAAGCTCAAAAGATGGGAATGAAGAGGAAGAAAAGAGTAAGAGAAAAATTGGGTTATTCCTGAAAAATTGAAATACGCATATGGTAGATAATTTTTTTGTAGGCTCGAGCATGGAGCCATAGCACATTATTCTTGTTTTTAGATGAAATGACAAGTAATGTGTAAATTGTTCATGATTTTCCTATCATGGCCCTGTGAGAAGACTCTGGAGTTTATCTATCAAGGTGAATAAGGTGATCACAACATACATGGCAGAATGCCTACTCTGGGTACGAAGTGGAAGGAGCAGAGGAGGAATAGTCAGGGCTGCAGATGATGGTAGCAATGGGTCAATGCTCCCATCTGTCTTTTCCATGTAATCTCTCAGTTTGACAGCTGTTTGTCACCCCAAACTCCAGCTTCCTCTTTGGAATCTTCAACCCCATTTGAGAAAAAAATGACTTGCTTACATTGCAATGCAAGAAATATAAGTCCAAAATATATTTACTGAAATATCTGTAATGAGAACTGGCTTAACCAGAAAAGTGGTCAAGACCCACCAGAAGAGCTGATGATTGAGAACTTTTGCTGATCTGAAAATTCTATTTCCATGCTGTCAAGCAGGTATTTTCAACCTTTTTACACCTGTGAACTTGCTATGGAAAACCACTGGTTTAGACACTTCACCCTGCCCCAATAACCACAGGGACATTAATTATAGATATCAAGAATGTAAGTCACTAAACAACATGTTTATTATCAGCATATCTAGTATGCTTTCAGAGTGCTGTGTTTCAACATTACATCATAAAAATCAAGTCATATAATAATTGTTATTAACTTCACAAAATCTACACAACTACATATAAACATTTTGAAAGTCTTGCAAATAATCCCAGGTGATTAATAATCTGATTTGACAGTGTAGTACAGAACACTGATATAACTGCTTTTTATCTCAGTATCTCACCAGGAGGGAAAAACTAGGAAAATTTGGCAGTTTAATAGTCTGATACTATCTTAATATAAATTAACAAGCATTTGTAAATGACAGAGGTGATAAAAAATTGTTTTAAGCTTGGGTAATTGAATACCAATTCAAAATGGTGTTTAGTGCTAGAATGTAATATACTACCTACTGCACAGTCCATTATCTATCATTATCTTTTGAACCCTATAATTGGACAAACAGGAAACTATTCATAATAATAAGCTTGGTCAAAATGATCTGCTGGAGTCTAGGTTGCACACTGAAGTCATGGCAGAACTGTTTACTTTATTCTCCCCATTGTTTGCTCATCTCTATTGCCACAAAGTTCAGAAACACTGCATACCTGAAAAGTCCAAAGCATCTTACCAAGATTATTTTAAAAACAATAACTTGCCCCTGCATTCCATACATGGGTACTGTAAATCTTATTTGCTCCAAAAGGGGGCTGCCATACCCTCCACCCCACCACCACCACATAGACATACACCAGCCTGATGCTATCTACAAGCTAACTGTCCTTATCACAGAACCATAGCCATTTGCCTTCTGGAATTTCTATCTAACCATTTAGTTGCTTTATTTGTCCTATCACGTTTTATTTTTCAGCAATACTTTTGTAGTTACATATTTTATATCACAGCTATTGAAACATGAGGTTGCATAGGGCTCCTGCACACATAAGCTCTTTCTAAGAGAGTTAATGGAAAGGCAACACAAGCCATTATCTGCATATTTTCAGTTTTTTATTATCAATAAAACAAGAGATCAGCATTTCCATGCGGTGTGATGGTTTCAGGAAAGTGCAGTGTCGCTGTCATTATCTTTAGATAGGGCGGCCTCTTGCCCCCACCAGTCCAGGCTAAATGATGAGTCCATCAAAATGAAAATAAAGTAATGAAAGGATCAGAGTCCTAGAGTGTTTTGCAACCTGGTCTGTGCAGCCTGACTCTCTGAAAATGTCCCTTTGAATTCAGTGGAGTCTGGATGGTAAAGACCACAGATCATGACAGATCATAAATCCGACTCATAATGAGATTAGCAGGCAGGCAAAATAAATGTCCTGCTATTATGTGAGAGACAGGCTCTGATTTTCCTTGGAAGTAATTATTATTTTTTTTTTGTTTTGCAACATAGGAATTCTGGGTGCAACTAGTTTAAATTCCGGATTCTGGTTTGTTATGTAGTTATTTTTTGTCCTTTGTCTTTTTAATAGTGGTCTTGAGGAGGCATATAAGTGACTTGTGAGTCTTAAAGATCAATCCCAAAGTGAATTATTGATGTCTGTGTTGTTGAATGTTAATTGTATTTCCCAGACTCCCTATTTGGGAAAAGTAGTGTGCAATTCTTTGTGCATCTTCTAAATAGGAACCTGTTCTTAAAAAGCAAGGATGACTTCAAGGTTCTCCCACTCCAGCCTTAAGGATCAAAGGCAGGATAGAGTCATTATTGTATTTGTGGATATTTATTTTAAAATGTAAACTGCAACTCTACTATCTAAAACCACTGAAAACAAGTCCTGCTTATAAAAATCCCTTAAAAGATCAGGTAAACCCACATAGACTCTGAGTTGAACAAAGGCCTTAAGTATGTGGGTGGATTGCAAAGGACTTCCTTGATTTTCAGCAGAAGTCAATCTCACCTGGAGTACAATGCATTCCTCTCAGTAAAAAGCAAGATAGCATCTCCTCTGGGATCCTTTCTGCAGAACTGGCTGCAAGTTCAAGGACTGCCATGGCCTTAGCCCTGAGTAGCATCTGATGTAAAGAGTTTCTTTTTTTTTTTAATTATCTTAAGGTTTTCTGAGCTCTGTAAAGTTTTCCAGGGAAATAATAATTTTCTTTGCAACTAAAGGAAATAAGTGATCCTTTACAAATAAATGGGAAATCCAACTTTGAATGTGGGAGTATCTGAAGTTTGACAACAGAAGGTACATAGAATTTAACAATACCTCTTTTCTCTTCATTTTCTAGGCCCATCTAGACTTCTGACTTCTCTGGTTAATTGTGTACTTGCAGTGGATCATTTATTAGTACTTCAATTCATTGCATTTTGAGTGTTTTTCTCAGGCTAAGAAGAAAACTTAAGATATGTTCTGTGTTTGCATATGTTTTTTACAGTTTATACAGTGATTTATGAAGAAAATATATATTTTTTGTAAGTTGTTGATGTTTTTTGTTTGTTTGCTTCTTTGTTTTTGGGCCACACCCAGTGATGCTCAGAACTTACTCCTGACCCTGTACTCAGGGATCATTTCTGGTGGAACTTGGGGGATGATTTGGGGTGACAAGGCTCAATCCTGTGTTGATTGTGTGCAAGTCAAGTGCCCTATTCACTTGCACTATGTCTCTCTGTCTTCACAGGTTCGCTCTTTTCAACTTTCCACTTCTCAATAACTGCAATTGGGTTCTACTTGCGTATTTTTTATGCATCTAATTTGCAGTGTCCAAGTTAAAGTCAGTTCTCCTACTTGTAATTTTCTTTCTTCTCTATTAATTAATATCCTTGTCATCAAATGAAATAGTTCAAGAAAAAATAGATGAATTTTCTGATATGTATATACTTATTTTTATATTGGTATTCTTCTTAGTTTTTTTCATTTTTATAATTCCTCCTTTCTCATTCCAGAATATTTCTCTCATACTCCCCACTGTGTCTCTGTATTTATAATTTAAATTGCAATTAGAGATAGAATTCAAGGATCGCCTACATTTTATATATGTTAATTATTTGCTAATAGAACCCCACATGTTAAACTCAAAGTAAATCTTAATGTTTCATATTGAAAATCTCCCTGGAGCAGTGTTCCAAATTTGGTTTGCTTACCTCATATAAGTGAACTTGTTCTTGAGTTACAGCAAAAATCAGTAACACATTATTTTGCACCAGTTTGTCAATGAGTTGTCCAATAGTTGGATATTCCTAGAATTAACATGTAGATTGTAAATATCTTAATAGACATATGAAAAGGAGGGAAATATTTATTTCAGAGCTCTCTTACTGAGTTTGGCATTGCAATGCTCATAGGTATAATTGTATCTTTTATTCTAAGTAAACAAATACATGATTAGCAGTTTCACTTAATAGATTTATTAATTATTTTCTAAATGTCATGATGGTAATTAATTCCTAAGAGTCTTTTCCTGTCAATGTAGTATATATTAGATTCACTCCATTTTAAAATAAATTAAATTGAAATTTATTTAAAGACTTACAGTGTGTCATGTGTCCAGAATTCATTTTTTTTTTAAGCGCCACTTGTCAGCAGGCTCAAGTTAAAAGGAATGTTAGATTCTAGCGAGAGGCAGTGAGAATGTGACAGATGTGACCAGGATGAATCTTGTCGATCTAAAACACTTAACTGGATTGTGGAGGCAGACTGAGGACTAAGGAAGGACAGCCTGCTGAGGAATGACAGTAGATTTCCTCAAAGATCTCTAATCTGAGCTACTGCTGTGCCAATTCCTGGATTTGGTCATGGTGCTGCTTTTTTTTTTTGGTGGTGTGAGCGAAGGGAGAGATATCACTGATTTGTTTTATGAGACCTGGCTTTCTTTTTTTTTTTCCCCAAACAGGACAGTTGAAAACATATTGTCCTGTTCCATTGACACATTCATTCCAAAGTGATATTTCTACTTAAAAAACAAAAAAACAAAACCCAAAAAACTGAGTGACTATCATATTTGAGGATGATCTACATTTTCTATTGATGAAAAAATTGGGAGCACATTTGTGTATTGTCTGATTCCCAATATGGACAGAGTACAAGAGGAAAATCAAATGAGAGTGTAGTTGGCAAACAATTACATCTGGAATTTATAGATAATCACTGAAGTCAGCCCAAATAGAAACACTGATAAAAAGTCCTTCTGTATACTAATGTAGTCACTGTCCTCCCTTGTTTATCGATTTGCTCGAGCGGGCCCAGTAACATCTCCATTGTGAGTCTTGTTACTATGTTTGGCATATCGAATATGTCATGGCTTTGCCGTTCAGGCGAGATACCCTCGGTAGCTTGCTGGACTCTCTGAGAGGGGCGGAGGAATTGAACCCGGGTCAGTCAGGTCGGCCGTGTGCAAGGCAAATGCCCTACCGCTGTGCTATTGCTCCAGCCCTACGTTAGCATAATCCCAGCAGTTTTATACTCCAATAATTTGTTTCAAATCTTCCTTAGGAACAAGTTTTAAAAAGAGGGAAAAGTGAGAGGGGTGAGAGGGGTGCAAAGGAGGTAGGGAGGGGAGGGGGTCACTGGAGGGGGCCTGAGTCCCAGCCAGCTTCTCCTCCCGACCTCCCCATGCCGACAAATGTACCCCCCTCATTCTGGGGGTTCCCGAAGACATTGGGGTGCCAGTCCCCTTTTGGAGGAGCTGGGGAGCCATTCTGAGGGTAGTGGACATGGAAGCAGGGACTTGAGAGTGGACACCGTCTGGTGGGGAGAGGGGCAGGCAGGGGCTGGACCCCAAAAACTGACTTTCCCCCTTCACCCCCACTGCCCCTGTCCCGCAGGCCCAGGGACCCTACCACCCATACCAGGCAGAACAGAGGGACCCTCCATGCTCCTGGGTGGGGAGGGGGTCGGCCACCGGAAATTCCAGCTTCTGCAGTCAAGGACCCCCCAGCCCCTGCAGGTGAAGGCCCCCCCTGGCAGGGTCCTAGGAGGAAGCCTGGGCAAAGGTGTGAAGGTTCTATGGTGCTATCAGGAGGGCTTGAGTTGGGCCTGCAGCGCTCCCGGCCTTTCCCCAGCTGCCCACGTGCCCTGGCCAGCAGGACACGTGTATCCATGTTTGTCTCCACTCCTGAGGGCAGCACAGGGCCTCATCCTCCAGCGGGATCACCACCCACTGGCGCTGGTGTCCAGCGTCCTGAGCCCTCCTGGCCTCTGCACGGGCAGGCGCGGCACAGCCAGAAAGAGGTTCTTGCATTTCAGGCCCTGGAGGCCAGGTGGGGGCAGCCTGGGGAGTCCCCACTCATGCCTGGCGCTTGCCCCCGTGAGGCCAGGACTCATAGGACACTTTTTTTTGTTTTTTTTTTTTTGGTTGCCATTTAAACGTCTTTACTCCTGCCTTCAGATTGGGGAGGAAGGTTCCATAAGCTACGTTTCCTAGGTAAGCCCTTTCCTAGCGTGTTTATACAGTTTTGTTTGTTACACTCTCTGCACCTTAAACCTCCACGACCACCCCCCCACGGCCACCACCTTCGCAGCATGGCTGGAGGGGGGGAGAGGCCCGAGTCCAAGGGAGTTAGTTGGTTGGGGCCAGGGGGGCAGATCAGGCCCTGCCAGCCTCAGGGCTGATGGGGTTCAGCACCCCCGACCTTGTGAGGCCCAGGGCTCCAGGGTGGGGGCTGGGATCATTTTAATCATCAATAAACGAAGCACTTTATTCTGTAAAAAGAGGGAAAAGTATGGTTTTGCCCTACAATATTTAAGTCAACTGAAAAATCTGTGAAATATGTGTGAAATAGCTACTTTCTTTGCATTTGTACTTTAATTATTAAATGTTCACAGAAGCCAGGCAATAAAAAAGCTTTCTGAGGCTGACATTTTCATTTTTCTCTGCTCTTTAATGACCCAAATATTTTTCATCAATAAACCAGCTCCAATTCTATGTCCATACCTTGAAGGCCCTTTGAACACTGTGTGCTGTAGCCAACATATATTGTGTCACCTTTTATAGAAAACCAAATATGGTTTTCTATTTGATGGCAGTCGTATTGGTTTAATTTATACATTTATAAGTTTCTTATCATCACAGACCATGTCCTATGTTCTGCTGTCCAGTGGCATCAGGACCCTGGCTTATTGTTGAGAACTTAGAACCCAGGTAAGATGGGCACTGTAGCAATTTATTCAGTAAGAATAAATTGAGTATTTACTAGATGAGTAGCTCATATTGGGCAACATATTTGAAATAATAAATGATATTTCTGTGATCCTGCTTTTTTTCTGAGATTTCTGTTATGGGACATTTGAATAGTTACAAGAAAGAGGCAATGGGAAAGGGACCAATTTCTTAGTTTCTTTTCCCTTGTTGGCTAAAAGACAAAATGTGATTATTCACATTAGTCTTCTAATAACAAAATTTTTATTTTTATGATTAAAGAATCATATAATCATTTATTATATAAGAAACATTTAATTAATACATATTTGTGAACACTAATTTATTAAAGTTAGGGAAAAACATGCTGAATATTAGGAAATTTAGGTCAAGGAATGGTAGATAATTTATGAAAAATTAAAAATACCTAATTGTCACCACTGTATCAAGTATTACTATTTAACCAAATACTTTTATTTGATGATGATAATTTTTCCAATATGATATTAGAATTATATAAATGAAATTTTATTCTTTTACATATGTGTCAACACTATCTTGATTTAAGTGTATTAAAATTTCTATGCCATATTTCCCCAAATGTTAAAATGAGGGTAATTTGGCCTTCCCAGGTTATTCCTTCATCATTTAATTCTCTTCCCTACATTAGTCAGCACACGGGTTGTATCAGATACTGTACCATCAGAAAATAGAGATGATAACTAGTCCTAGCCCTGAATAGATTGCATTAGGGGGAAAAATTGAGTGCAAACACATTTTCATGTAGTGATGGTCAATAAGACATGGAAATGAGAGTGAGAGGTGATTGTTTTGAAGCTTAGGGGAGGCCAAATAGATCTGGTTGGGAACACTGTGATTGAGTAGGTTCTAAAGGTCCATTAAGAGTTTTTCAGCAGCCTAGGAGGGAAGAGTGTTTTCTACAGGAAAGGAATAATGGGAGCACAACATAGTAGCCTCATGGTATGTTAGAGGAAAGCTGTTAAATATTTAAAGTTCCGGTGACATTGCTTGTCAAAAGGGCTCTGTAGATTTTACTTTATTTTAGGAAAGTTAAAAAAACTGTTTTCTGAATATCATCAGAAATTTTGAAATAACAAAAATATGGTCATTTACTAAAAGTACCAACAAGTTGCACCTGATAGTCAGTTATTCCCCATGGACTCCCATGCTACATGAAAACCCTACAATATATAGTGGCATGACTCTGGAGTCATTCTTCACAGAACCTACTACATGAAAGCTGTGCTGGTCTGAGAGTCCCTTTCCAGGACTGTGGTTGACAACAGAATGACCTGACTGTTTTATGGTGGCCTCAGGCACTCAGAACAATCAAAGAAGTACTCTGTATATTTGTGCATAGCAGATCCCAAGTCTTCATCATCTACTGATGCTCTGGAAGAAATACCTAAGGTTGTGGTTAGGCTAAGGAGAGGGGAATTTTTTCATCTCAAATCAAAAAATCACACAAGCATTATTTTCACGAAGCATGAGTTATTCTGCTATGGGTGGCAGAAATCGCTGCTTTATTCAGCTCTCTGTATACCCCAATAATGTAGAGTGCAGGTTACTTACCAAAACAGTTGACATTGAATATTCATTCTTGTTGTCCAAATGACAAAGCCCATCATTAGGAATAACAATGCCTGCCAATTTGCTGTCCATTCCAAAATGAGAATCAGCATCGCTCACAAAGACCAGGAGATGGAGGGAGTCATTACGCCAGCCAATTTTTTCCTACAATGAGAAGATTTGGGGGGACAGAAAGTGGAGAGATAGTACAGTGGGAAGGGTACTTAACCTTGCTTGCAAGTTGCTCATTTCTAGTATCTCATATGCTCCTCCAATCCCCACCAGATTATGACATAAAAAAATCAAACAAAGAAGCATTTGGGTCATACTGGATTTATTTATGAACATTTATTATGATTTGGTTATGTTTGGGCACATAGATTATTTTAGAAAATACTGCTTCAATCTGCTTTAGACTTTTTTGTCTACTGTAAGGTTATGCTGTGTAAAAATATCATTTTATTTTTCCCAGATAATATTTTTAGATGATTTATGCCTCAGGAAAAAAATAGATCCACTACTATCAGTGTAAGTATCTATGATCTTTAGACCTTGACTTTTACATAGTTCATTATTTTTACTGTCAAGTTTTTAATTTATCAGAAAAATGTTGGGAAAGGAGTAAAATTAGTCATCACACTGTCACACTGTCCTCCCATTGTTCATCATTTTGCTTGAGCAGGCCCAGTAATGTCTCCATTTTGAGACTTGTTGTTACTGTGTTTGGCATATTGAATATATCACGGGTAGCTTGCCAGGCTTTGCCACAAGGGCAAGATACTCTCGGTAGCTTGTCAGGCTCTCCAAGAGGGGCAGAGGAATCGAACCCGTCTTGGCCGGCCTGGCTACACACAAGGCAAACGCCCTACCACTGTGCTATTATTCCAAATCCAAGCAAAAGCAAAACTATGAAGAATGTAATACAAAATGAACTCAAAGTAAGCATCACCCAATATTGAAGCACACATTTCTCTTCCTAATGGTATAAAAACAAAATACGTAATACTAGAATAAAAATCACTTATAAAAGTATCACCCTGAATTATTGCTAATTAAGATTATCTATTTCTCAAATGAGCTTTCTGTTCTAGTTAATATTACTTCATGAATGAGTGGAACCAAATTTCATCCTAGTCTTGCCATCCCAACTTAACCATCATCTTACTTTTCTAATTTCTACTTTCTAAGAGCTTCAGCCTTATCCATTTCCTGATATTTTCCATGAAGAGCTGACATCTGAAAGCAAGGAATCATTCCTGAGAATACATGTCTGATAAGGATTATCATGTTCCTGCACTGATGTGGAGACCTATGACATCAAATACTGATTTTTTTGGTTTAAACGTTAGATATCTAATATGTAGTCTTTTGACTCTTAATATTTGCCTTTGATATTTTTCACACTGATAATTTAATGTTATTGCAGCCTTTGAAAATTAACTCTAGAGAGATAGTTTAGTGGGTAAGGCTCTTGCCTTGCATGCAAATAACCCAGGTTTGATACCTGGAACTGGAATCACATATAGTGGATCAAACATTGCCAGGTGTTAGTCGTGAGCATTGGTGGGTGTGGCTCCAAAACAAGAAAAGAAAGATAGTGAATACACAACTATTGTTTTAACCCATATTTGCAACAATTGTAATTATATTTGATCATCAGAATATTAGATATTAAAACACTATTTTAACCTGATTCAGTAAAAACATATATAGACCACTTAAGCTAAAGAGAAACATCAAAATGTAGAAATACAGCATTTTTACAACAATAGTTAAGCTTTTCAAAGTGGACTTGTTAATAAGTTGCACACGTGTAACATTTTAAATTAGCAAACTGACACACTAATCCCCATAGCATACCTTACATACAGCAGCTTGCATTATTGCATCAAATCCTCCTTCAGGCGTGTCAATGTTAGCTGAAATTTTCTGATTCTTCACAATTTCATTGAATTTTTCAGCATCTTTTGTCAATGGCAAAATGTGCTTGAATCCAAATGTAGGTAAGCATAAGTATGGAATACTACTGCAAAAGTAAAATGTGAAAATTTTCTTGATGCAATATGAATCAGCATGCAAGTAATAGTTCTGATAGCCTAGCAAAATTTGCTAAATAATGAATTATTTTTTTAATGTGTCTGACTATAATTTAGTAACGCTCACTGTTAAGGCTCACCCAGCTCTGTCATATAATAGCTATTGACCATAATAGCTATATTTTAGAGTTTCCTCTGTGTCTTATACCAACTCAAACTCAAGATAACTTATACCAAATTCCTTATCCGTGTGCATTTTGTGTGTGTATGCGTGCACATGTGTAATCCTCTATTTCTGTCCAACCAGTAGTTAGTACATGATGGCAACAATTTCATAGTATTCTGATACCTTACACTGTCGGTGTGAGTCACACTGTAGCATTACTGAGAGAGGAATGTTCCCCTGTCATCCTTCCTGTTCCCCTCAGCTCTCCATTGCTCCCAATCAGAACAACTGTCTTGGTTCTAGAGTCCAATTCTTCTGTGCTAAAACAGCCTATTGTGGGATACACTGGAAATAAAATCACTATTTAAAACAGTTTTCACATGGAGAAAAATACCATATTATGGTCCCCAAAGGTCTTGTAGTAAAATGTCAGAGATGATCATGAAGTTAACCACCTCTTACTAAGAACAGCTAGTGTTTATGCACAAGACATTAGCCAACTGACTCAACCCTTATAAACGTTGGAGCTTCATTTGGAAAATGGAAGTCACAGTGCACAGCAGAGTTTCTCAATATGTGGTACCAGGATCAACAGTGTGAGAACCACAAGGGCATATACTATTAATGAAAAGTCTTGAATTTTCAAGTCTTTCTGACACAAGCAAAAATTTGAGAAACACTGGTGTAGAAGAGCAGAGACAAAAAATAATACCCCAATAAAGACATTAGTATGCTGACTGCAGAGAGCTGGTTGACTCTCGAAAGAGCAGCCCTGCAGATTCTGCTATTTATCTTGTCATAGAATATGAAGAGTCAGTGCGTCTTTCAGGACCAGGCTCCAGTTCACAAAATTTATCTGCTTGAGGTATACAGTAAATTCTCATTATTCACAGGTCATGTGTCTATGAACATACCTACTGACTAACTTTTATTTTTAAGCCCCAAATCAATATAGTATTTTCAAGGTCATTCATGGACATGCATATCACAGTGAAAATTTTGCATTCACCTGGTATACCTGTTTCTAATGTCAATAAGGCTTTTTTCATTCCAGCTTCAGCACATTTACTATAAATTATTTTCATGCCCTTTTTGGGTTTTGGGGGTTGTTTTGGGTTGGTGATTTTGTTTCTTAGAACAGCCTCCAAGTGTAATGTTGTCAGTGTTCTTTAATGCAAGGAGACTGATACAGTATATGGAGAAAGTTGGTGTGTAGAGAAACTTTGTTCTGACGTGAATTATAGTATTGGATGTAAATTCACTGTTAATGAATCAACAACACTGTTTTTAAATAAAAACACACACAAAGCTAAGTTTTGTATTGATCAGCTGGCAAGAATAAGGACCAGAGGCCTGCAGGAGCCTGACTTCCCCCAGGAGCAATTGCTTAGCATTTGCTAAATTGGCATTTGAGGAAACTTGATTCTTGGCTTCATGAGAGTCTTAATTTTTTAATCCCTCAAAATGTTTGGCCAAGGAAGAAAATGTAACCTCTGTGCTAGTAAATGTTTCTAGAATAAGGGAAACTTATTACCAGAATAAGGGAAACTTCTTTCTAAAAATGTAAACTATTTCAGCATTCTTACAGGATGAAATAACTTTTGGTAATTCTCTATCCAATGAAGATAAAAAAGGTACTCCAAAAAAGCACTGGAGATTAGATTAAAACAGAGCTTTTTGAAACATAGTGCACAGATACCAGAGTCTCTGAAAAGAGACCTTATCAGAGTCCTTAAAGTTGAACTATTTTCACCATAATAAAATGTCATTTGTCTTTGTGCTGTGCTGACACTTGCAATGCTTCCAAAAAAAAATGATAGTGGTTAACTGCCAGTACCTGAGCATGGATCAGGCACTGGCCACAAACTTTCTCTATATTTATAATATAATATAAATGAAATTAGTATAATATAATCATTATACCAATGAATGCTAATTTAACTTAATACAACTATAAAAGTTGTTAAGTTTATTAAATAAGCACCCTTGAATGCATGGTTTAAATATTTTGTATGAGCACATGGGAAATGCACACAGAAAATCAAAAAAGCAATGTTTGTAATATAAAGTGCTCCAGGATTTTTTAAGCTCCGAGGCTTGTTTTTTTTTTTTTAAATGAAACCGTATTTTCACCCAAAAGAATACTTGACAGCTAAACTATGATTCCAACTGGGTATTTGGCAGGCAGGCATGTTCTGAATAAGGAAGGAAATGAGTCTGTTCCTTCAAGGAAAACAGCTGTCAGTATTTGGTGCCAATGATAAACTTTGAGGTAAATAGAAAATTAAAATTTTGGAAACCTTTAAGCTGTGTCTTAAGAGATTAAAAGCTTCCGAATACTTTTATCTGAGGTTTATGGTGATGCTATCAAATATGAATTTTTAAGATGCTATATCATGAAATTTGGAAGGTTTTCCCTACATCAGTGAAATACTCATTTGTAGAACCTAAAATAATGCACATTTTGTCATTATTTTGACAAATGACAGTAAGTCATTCAAATTTAAGATAGATCAAAAGTTTGCCTGAAAAAGTTCACTGATCTAAATAACCTTTTACCTTTCATTTAGTTTAAATGCAATATTAAAGTAGAATATCCACTCTTTTAATAAAGTTATTAAATTTTCTCTTTCCAACTATATATGGGGGATTTGAGTTTCTTCATGGAATTAAAACAGAACAAAATATTGAAGCATATTAAATATGGAACAGATATTAAAATAATTAAACCAAATGTGTCAAGAAAGTGGTAAAAATATAAAACAACACTTCTCTCCTTGCTAAGTGTATTTTGTAAAATAGTTAATTTTCAGATGTGTTTTATAATAACATACAATGTGTTATAACAATTATTAAATCATAGCTATTTTTAAATTATCTCAACTTTGCTTTCTTAATATGCTAAATTGATATCACAGTGGATACGGTGTTTGCCTTCCATGCAGCCAACCCGGGTTCGATTCCTCCGTCCATCTTGGAGAGCCCGGCAAGTTACTGAGAGTATTCTGCCCACATGGCAGAGCCTGACAAGTTCCTTGTGGCATGTTCAATATGCCAAAACCAGTAACAAGTATCAGAATGGAGAAGTTACTGGTGCCCACTCCAGCAAATTTATGAACAACAGGAGGACAGTGCTACAGTGCTACAATATGCTAAATATTGTCATAATTTACATAAGCTAAAGCTCTTTGTAGTCTTAATTTGGATATGTCATGTTGAGGATTGAACTCAGGATCCTTATGAATGTAAATCATGTGTTCTACCAGAAAACTGTATCTTAGACTATTGAGATATTGTTTTTTCAAAGCGCAAGAGTACAGTATTTAAAAGTTTCAAGACAGTTAAATTAAAATGACTAAAGTTTATGTCATCATAGAAAGATAGTTGATATTTGTTGGGAATGTCTGTTATGTCCTGAGCTCATTTAATTCTCACAATTTTCCTAGGAGATGGAGAGTATTTATAGGTAAATAGAGCTCGAAGTAAGTTGTTTGTTCTAGACTATGACTGACACAGGACTAAAAAAGCTCCATTTTCTTTTCCCTCACTGCCTTCCTACTAAGGAACATTTTATTCCATAATTATAATTCTTTGAGTGATCAAAGGATTGACATTTGTGCTTGGTATTTGAGTTCTTGGTGTATATAGGAATCAGGGGTGTTATATATAGAGAGAAAGAGGAAGTATTAGAATGTAATAGAAAGGAAAAATACAGAATTTATTGCTTTAAACTTTCTTGGAAAATTTTGCCAGTAATAATAAAAGAAATAATAAAAGGAAAATACTTTAGAGAACAGGAAGGCATTGACTTTTCAGTAGAGATCTAGAAATTATTGTCCTTGGGTCAACATTTAGGATACCTGTGTAGTGCTTGGGTCTCCCCTAACTGCACTCTCTTAGTACTGACAATAACATCTATTTTGATAACTATATAATCAAGTCCAATATCAAATGCTCTCATTGGCTCACTCAATTCTTTTCATAATTCTGTGTCATCAGGATTGTACTTCTGATCTGAAGCTTGAATCTATCAAAGGTCACATTACAAGTGATTAGATTAATTAGGACCTAATAAATGGCTGGATTCTGAAACCCATGTTCTTACCCATCATGCTATGTTCCATGTATCTGATTACCCAAAGAATTTCAGCTCTTTGGGGTCTAGACTCATGTCTGCTTTTCTTCCAAGTCACACCATGGGTAGCAAAATGCAGATACATAGTTAGAACTCAGTGAGTTTTTGTTGAATGAGTGAATTAACAAACAAATGTGCAAATGAAATTTATTCAGATCTAGCAAAAGCTAAACTTTACTTTTCTACAAGTCTGATTAAGGACAGGGACATATTTTTTGAGATGCTAGGTTCCCCATTTGTTGGAGCTTTCTAAGTTTAATTGCTTTCTTTGGTAACATTTCATACTTTTTTTTCCATGGTCACTATGATGCTTTATTGTTGCTACAATTTATTCAGCCTATGACAGAAAGAATGATTTTAAACAAGTCTTCTGGAGCAAAGATAGTGATTTGTAACCTTAGGTGGAATTGCTCTACTACTCTGTACTGAAACTTGTTGCTAGATAAAGACAAATAAAATGTCCAAAAACTAAACATAAATTTTGGACATATATAAAATCCTCTTATTTTTTTTTAAAAAGTAAAAATCATTAGTGATGCATCTATATTAAATGATTAGAAGGTTGTTACATAGAGATTACTTCCTCTTACAAGTAACTTAAACAATTTATAACAGTGAGAACTTACTATTTACTAAGCATATTTTTAAAAGTATAAATCCTTATAACTCTACAGCAAACTGTTTCTTCAGTGCTACAAGAACTACTGTATTTAACACAATTTCCAATATTTTTCTCCCCTACTTACAGAATTCTAATTTTGTTTTGATTTAGCAGTGTGTATCCTTTATAATGACTCTAGCCATATAACTAAGAATTGGACTATGAAATGCAAGTATAAAGAGTTGAATAAAATATAAAAACTTATTTTGTTCAAAGGCTGATGCCTTGGGTGTTTAAATGTTTTAAAAGTCTGTTTTTTTTCTTTTGCTTTTTGGGTCTCACCTGGTGATGCTCAGGGGTTATTCCTGCTCTGTACTCAGGAATCACTCCTGGTGGTGCTTGGGGGATCATATGAGTTGCTGGGAATTGAACCTAGGTTGGTCGTGTGCAAAGAAAATGCCCTATTCACTGTACTATCGCTCCAGCCCTTAGAAGTCTGTTTTTAAAGTCATTTGTATGTACTAAATTTATAGCCACGAAGGGCTTGGTTTGAGAACTATCTGGATTTTGGTACAAATGATTAATAGTCATATGGCTTTAGGCAAATTACAATTTCTTTCTGCTATGTGAAAGTTTAATACCCTTGGTTTTTGTGCTTTGGTAGGTTATTTTGAGGTTTGGGAGTGCTCAGAAATATTTCCATATAAGTTATCACTAATGATATTCCCAGATACCCTTCACACCCCTCCCCACACTCCAAACAACCTGCCAAATTCATTAGGAATATTCTTCTCTGAGGTAGCAGAGGATACATTTAATAGTCTCTGTCTGAGTTTCTGTGTGAGAATGAAACCTGTATTGACTTGCTGTAACTATGAAAACTAAATGAGGTCATGAACGTAAAAGCATAGACTGCAATGTTAGTTGCAGGTTTTTTTCAACAGAAGGACATGTTTAGATTGTTTGACTCTAAACATGTCATTGACTATATAGGTAAGCTATCTCAAAGCAACTCGACTTTGACCATGGATATGTATGGTTTTCATATCTCATAATAGTATATTGTAATAACAGCCATGAAAAATTTCCTCCTTATCACAATGAGGACTAAAAAGACCTTCCCTAAACAACAAGGGCTAACTACATTTCCCAAAATATGTTAGAGAAAACTGCAAAACTTTCCACAGAAGGCATTGTAGTGGAGAAGGATACACACTTTCTGAGGAAGTGTGTGTTACTCTCAAGTACTTTCAGAAAATGGTGATCATTGAGGAAAAGATCTCTGAGTGCCAGGATATGGACATAGGCCAATCTCTAGTGAAATACACAGGATTCTCAACACAAAGCTAAATGGGCACAACTTGACCTAAACACTTTCTTCAAGGACCCAAGGCTAGATCTATGTAGTTAAGATGACATTACCCTTGTTCCAAACAACCTGGGAAGCTGAGAATTGCTAATATTTCAACAAACAGAAGAGAAATGTCAGAAAGATCATTTAGAGATCTCCTGTCAAGTTCAGAGAAGAGCAGGGCTATTTCTTCCATAAATCAGTATTCAAAGGTGCCAGAGAATCATTTACTTACCTGCAAGGATTAGAGATTTCTTCTGGTGTTGTTTTTATAAAAGGGGAGACAGGTTTTTCCACAAAAGAACCAAAGCCTAGTCTAAAATTGCTAGTTAATTTTGACATCTCCTTGGAAAGAAGGGATCCCAGCTTCTTGATTGTGTTGAGGTCATCATCCATGGAGGCTGAGAGGTCCATGAGGTAATACAAGTCCACTGGGTAATCCTCAGTCTGGCGAACTTGCACTTGCAGAGTCTGCTCACTGCCTGCAAATCCCCCCACCAAAAAAAGCAAATATACAAAAAATGTATCGAGAATATTTGTGACTAGCCAATCAATGACTTTCACCTTTTTTCAAAGGAAATTGCTGAAGATACTTAGGATTTAATAAACTATACGGTAAAGTTTACAAGTAAGCAAGCCTATGAAAATCTTGCAACAGTGAGTATAGAACTACTAAAGAAGGTAAAAGTTGGGATATTTTATATGTCCTTGGGAGAACAAGCATCCATTTAGATGGCAGATAAAAGGAATTTTTTGGTAAGTGATTTTAGAAAAGGAGAACAAAATAAAGAGGGATTTGAAGGTACATTACATCCTTCAAAGAAATGTGAAGTAAGCCTTAACAACATTTGAGTAATTCAAATGGTTGCTATCAGATAAGGCTTTTTAGTAACACATTTTGAGTGTACAAGTAACCAAGTAACCAATAGTGAAGTATTAACATAACAGTCATTTCTCCTAAGAATGGGAAATCTGAGTCCCCATAATCAATGATCTGTAATAGAATACAAGGTATATGAGTGGAATAGTATAGTATTTCCCATATGTGACATTAGGTGTGTTGGCATGAACCAAGGCCCAACTGAAATAGTAACCTACCTGGTCTCAATTTAAGGATCAAGCTTTGAGGTGATATCTGAACAATGTCAGAACTATTCTTCTGTCTTCCTATACTGAGAGGCTTATTTGTAAGTATTTCTACTTGGGATACAGGGTTTTCTATGAAATTTAGTTGACATCCTTTAGCTAAAAGATTTGCTGAGGTATCACACCTTTCACCAACTCCAGATGGGTGAGTAAAATTCTAAAAAAGAAAAAAAGACAAAAAAGAAAGTCCTACATTGCTTGTAAAGGTAGATTTGTTTTGCTTTTGCTTTCATAGCTGGTTAGACAGCTTGCCATAAAGATTATATTATATTCTCTGTGCCTAGCATTGAATGTATGTCCAACATTATTGTAGAACAAGATAATTCTGGTAATAAAACTAACATCTCTTTTTTCATCATATTCAAGAGAATATAATTATATATTTACTTAGCAACTTCCCCAGTTTTTTTTCTCTCTCTGAATTCTCACTTCTTTAAGAGTCCCATGCCTAGATCTTTGAAGCAGTTGGGTCATAGTTAACATCAAACTGTGGTTTTATCTCTTTAGGGTTGATGGAATCCCATGACTGCTAAAACTGTGTATATTTACCAATTCGAGTAGAAATTCCCCAAGCCCCTCCCCAGTGGGTTTATGAAAGTCAAGACTTGTGACAGCTCCCTCTATAACTACCTGTTCTGGTTCAACTTGTGATGCATGACCCTTGTATTTCAGCATTACCTTACTAAAGTTTACCTCTTGGGGACTTGAAACTATTGTCTAAAGAATTATGGTTTATGGTCTGTTAGAAACTTCTTAAAGATTTGGAGGTTGGGAAGAAAAGAGAATATGATTAGAGAGACGTTTTATGTATCAGATTTAGAAGTTTCCTATCTTTGTTCTCATCCACCTGACTGTTAGGAGACATTGAGGTGAATTGTTTCCAGGCATAAGCATGGCCCTTCCATTCCTACAATGCCTCCAAAACAGAGAAAAGCAAGTTAAGAGGCAAAGATGTCCTATCTGACAGCTAATGTTTTTCTAGAGAGCTAGGCAAAGATGTACTTCAAACACATATTCTTAGAAGCAAATGTATGCTCATTATTGTCTTTTCTTATCCCTTAAGTTTCTAAGTCTTTTTTGCTGTTTTCACCAATTAGAAATTTTACACATCTTCTGAAACTGATCTTTAAGAAAATACTTTGTTATCCACTAGTCATGCTTGGTGTATACTTGAGATCCTAGGCCAGCCATCGCTAACACCATAATTTTTTCATGATGCTTACAGACCAAGTAATGGCTAGAAAGGCCTCAGAAACCTTCTTGAAACAGTGCCACTGCATATGATGAGCACTGTCTGCAAAGGATCAGAGGTGGTATAAGCTTTCTAGCCTGTGTTCTGTCAGTTTTCAGAAAAGACCTATTTTATTTTTTGTTCCAACTCTTTCAAGTGCTATAATCCTACTACTAACAGGAACTCAGTATAAAAAGGTCTTAAAATTGACATTAATTTTACTACTGAGTATCAGTCATAAATAGTTCTCATCAGTAACTTAAGTACTCTGAATGAATATTTAGAACACATTTAAATAAAAATTCTAGAGATCCAAATTGTATTAGATTTGTTTTTTCCTCATATAAAACTGAGAATTTTAATTTTTTCTAGTGAGGCAGCATCAATAAATGTGATAATTCTCCTTTTGTATATTCTCAGAACTACTTCTGAAACATAAGTTCAGAAAAGCAGAAACTAGAATTCCTTTTTTTTTTTTGCTAGTACCTCCTGGGTCCAAGGCAGCATTTGTGTAGGGAGAGAGAGAGAGAGAGAGAGAGAGAGAGAGAGAGAGAGAGAGAGAGAGAGCTGTTGGGTTTTAACTGTAATAGTCTTATCCTGAGTGAAGCATCCAGATTTGCTCCATATTTGTGGAATTTGTATTTTCCATCATTTGACTTGTGTTTAGATTCTCTTTATAAAGTTTAATATAAAACTTTCAAGCCCAGAAAGAACCAAGGCAGTTCTTATTAAAGACCATTGACAGATGACTGCACAGTGGGATAGGAGGCAGTGACTCAGGATGGCTTGCTCTGCCCTTCCCAGATTCCCATAATCTACTTCCCCATCATTCTCAGTTTTATCAGTCTGTGTTAAGCTTTGTCATTGGCCTGGCAGAATCATCAAGCCTGTAAAAATATAATTCTGGTAAAACAAAAACACAAAAACAGAAAACAGCATAATCTCTGAAGAATTTACTCCTAAACTTAGAGCACTTATCTTAAAATCTAGGTTTAAAATGAACCTAGTTCCCATATGAGATTCCCTGAGATAGTAAAGTTAAATATATGTGGAACTAGAAAAATAACATTACAGTAATCTGAGTACCCAGAAAGCCTAGACAGGTTATTAGAAATGGCCATAAAATTAAGAGGAGGAATTAAGTTAAATAAAGGGCCATGAGTTAAGTTTTAGTTATTGGCTGTTCACTCCCTCCACAGCTTGCTTTGGAAAGTAATCACCAGTGACTTGTTGATCTGGGAATGCTGGCATTTTCCTTCCTGCTCTGTTTTCCTCCTATAACTGCACAGAAAGTACCTTACCACAAGAACAATGGCTGGTAAAATGAGTGTGTAGCCTTTACAAACACATTGAGGTCATTTACCTCCTGAGCACACCAGGCACATTGAGGTCCAATGAGTAAGCAGTCTTCACAGGTCTCTGCACCTCCAGCAGCACAGCCACCTACGTTTAAACCCAGCAAGACACAGGGATTCAACACATTCTTCCTCATCTCATGAGACTTATGGCTCACACAGTACTTGAACAAAGCAATATAAACATTAATTTTAGTCTTCAGAATGTTAGCAATTTATACAAAAGTTATTTTCTACCTATAATGTTAAAAATACATATGTATGTCTTATTAACCACCCCCACACCACCAATTGTTCTCTTTTCCCTTAAACTACGAAACTGTCTCACTGTTCACAAGTACAGAATCATACTAATTACTCTCATTCAGCATCATCCACTTTAATTAAAAAAATTATTTGCACTGGTTAAGAAAAGCTTCTCAAAAGCGATTTAAAAAATTAATTCCCTTTTCTCTCTCCAGTAAGTGTTTTTAAGTGGAAGACCTTGTTCTACAATGTAATAGCTAGAAAAGTTACTAAAATGGTTACCACAAAAGTGTTAAGAAGTCCTATTGTGCAGTTATGCTGTTTAATTCTCCTCATTAAAATGCCCACGCAACCTTTGTATTTATTTACCTTAAGCCTAGAGCTTTCACTGTGGTAACAGCTCGGTGTTTGCCTGTAATTGTTACAGTGTTCGCTCAATGGCAAAAGAGCAATAGAAAGAGATCAAATAAAATAACTTCCGATCTAGTTTCTGAACCAAATGACAGGTTTGTCAAGCATACCACAAAAGCAATATATTAGAGAGCTCAGACCTTACCTTGTACGTGATCATTCCTTCCTAGAATTAGAAAGAACAGGCAGAGCAGTTCGATCCCCATTCGTTTCAGTTCTCGCTGTGCACACAGATTAAAAAATGAATTACCTTCAACATTACAAGACCAAATCTCAACACTGTCAAATCTGTCTTTCTTGAAGTGTAAAAAATTAACTACTACTTACACTGTTTAGAAAAGAAGCTTGAGATGTAAATAAAGTTTTCATTAGGGCTGAAATGAAAACAGGCTACCTGGACAGGTAAAGAAGAAAAGCTGTGTTTAAAAGCAACTTCAAGATGATTTACTTCCTTGTTCTCCTTATAAGGAAAGCAGGTGTATAATCACGAGAAGGAGGGGGAATTCATTCACTAGAAATGTTTGTGTAAATTCTGTTAGATCCACTGTACCCTAGATTAAGTTAATATCTTCAGTGAAACATTGATCAGTGAAATGTCAAGAGCATCTAAAATGTGATCTAATATGTTTCTAATAAAATAATAACCAATGAAATTCGTTAATGCTCATTAGTTATAAAGAGCATAGAAAATAAAACAAGTTTAGAGGTTATATCGGAAGTTTTTTTCAACTGAGTTAAATGAAAATACCTTAGTTTTTGTTTGCCATTGTTAAATCCTTTGCAGAGAATTTAAACAAATTCTGAAAAGTAAAATATTTATTTTGTAGTCAAATTAGAAGTCAGAATAGGGAAAATTAAGCAATATTCTTTTGTTTCAACCCAGATGTGAGGTATTTTTCTGTAAGTTTGAATTATCTAAGAAGCTGTATTGAAAAGTGAAACACATGAAAATCAAATTAGGCGAATATTACTTCCAGAAAAAGAGTTATGGAAACAAACAATGCTGCCTGCAATTCTGAATCCCTCTGAATAGAGATCAATTCACACATCAGTTCACTCGGCTTCTAACCACCACTTGGCACATAGCAGGTATTTATTTCTTGAGAGAAAGGGTGACAATTTTTTTAAATATACAGTTAACCTCACTGTTGAGTTTTATGTGTTGCCACACCTCAGGGTTTACTGCTGGCTCTGTACTCAGCTGTCACGCCTGGGAATGCTTGGGGACCATATGTGATGCTATGGATTGAAACAGAGTACACTGTGATAAAGGCAAGCACCATAACCACCCTACTTCCTCTTTGACTCCATGTGGTTGATTTTTATATTTTCCCCTAACATATTTAGGATGGAATTTTAAGGATTTGTAGGACCTGCAAGCAGATATGAGCAAGTATTCATTTTGTTATTCTCTAAACTTTCTGACTTGAGACTTCTCTGTGGCTTGGCTTATGTTCTGGGACACTATATTTTCAAAGTATATTTCTAGTCAAGCATGAAAAACCCATAAAGAGAGGACAACTAGATATGCTCAGTTTTTTCTCACAAGACTTTATGTTATATAAAGTTCAGTTTTGAATGCCATCAGCTACAAGAACCCGGAAGAGTCCTGTGGGGAAAGCAAGCAAAACAGAATTCTAAAGAATTGGAAATGGGGGGGCAAGGAGTGATAGTACAGTGAGGAAGGGCATTTGCCTTGCACGCAGCTGACCCAGATTTGATCCCCGGCATTCCATATGGTCCCCCAAGTACCACCAAATGTAATTTCTTAGTGCAGAGCTAGCAGTAGCCCCTGAACATCACAGGGTGTCACCCAAAAAGGGAAAAATAAAAGAATTGAAAATAAGCCTTTTGGAAGAAAAAAGAGTTCTATGGTATTAAGAGATTTAGCCTGAAGAAAAAAGATTGAGATACAAATGATCTGTGACCCTCATATTGCTACAGTTAAAAAAATTAAGTAACAGCTATGATTCACTCATTTAGCAAATATTTATTGAGCATTTGTTATGGCCCAGTATTGTACTAGAAGCAGAGGACAGGTCAATTAACAAGACCAAGTTCTTCACACATGAATCATATGTTGTAGGCTGAAGTGGTGGGTGAGGGGCAGGAAGATTCCTGGGAGGAAACAGATTCTTAAAGTTAGGCCATGATAAGGGCTGTGAAAAGGGTTTAAAAATAGGGGCAGGGAGGGTCTGTTATTTAGGGAGAATTTCTCTGATTGGTTGACATCTAACAGAATCCTAAGTGATTTGGGTGACAAAATGCAGAGGGCCTGAGATAGTGTTACACTAGGCAATTGATTAAAGGACAGTGGAATATAAGAATTAAATGAAGAGAATAGACAATGAGGTCTGCATTAGGAACAGAGGCAGATCACATATCAGCTTGACCTTGAATTTTATTCTAAATATCTTGGAATGTCACTAGAAGGTTATTATCAGGGAAATGATACTATTTCATTTATAATTTTAAAAGAATCACCATAACTTTTGTGGAGTCTGAAGACAAAGACTGGAAGGTGGAAAATGGTTCTTACAGAGTCATGCTGTTGATGAGGGAAAAAGTAATAATGATGAATAATGTAATTTTAATTTTAATTGAAAAATTCAATAAAATAATGATTTAACAGCTATGTTTTTATGTTATATAAACATTTGACAACAAGATTTTTTTTAAATTTTATTGAATCACCGTGAGATAGTTACAAGCTTTCATGTTTGGGTTACAATCACACAGTGATCAAACACCCATCCCCACCAGTGCACATTCTCCACACCAATATCCCTGGTATACTCCCCCCCCTTTCCCACTCTCCCCCTGTGTCCATGGCAGACAGTATTCCCCATACTCTCTCTCTACTTTTGGGCATTATGGTTTGTAATGCAGATATTGGGAGGTTATCATGCTTGTTCCTTTATCCTCCTTTATCTACTTTCAGTACACATCTCCCATCCTGACTGATTCCTCCAGCCATCATTTTCTTAGTGATCCCTTCTCTATTCCAGCTACCTTTCCCCCTTGGCTCATGAGGCAGGCTTCCAGCTATGGAGCAATCTTCTTGTCCCATGCATCTAATATCCTTAGGTGTCAGCCTCATGTTATATTGTTTTATACTCCACAAATAATTTCAGTCCTTTTATGACAACAAGATTTTGGGAACCTGAGTAACTGCCTGATATACTGTTGGCTAAGAAGGGTTACCTTGGAAAAAAAAGATCAGGTTTCATGGGATTCATGTTAGAAGAGGCTACATAAACTGTTTCATATTTAGTCTGGCAATGACAGCAGTATTCAATTGTCAACTGTAAATTTGATATTATGAGCATAAATTTAAAAATCTGAGGCTGAATGAGATCCCCATGCAACGGGCTTTTGAGAGAGAGGATCTCTGAGAACTGCCCAGGTCTGGCTGTCAGTAGGAGAAAGATGCAGTGAGAGAAGCTACTGCCCAAAGAGCATTCCTTCGTGCTAAAAATGAACATATTTTTGGTAGAAGACAACACTCTAAATTTCCTATTTTTGCATATCGCAAAGGTGAGGCACTGATAGTATTTAATCCAGATTATCTGTACAAGGATGTTTGCAAAGTGAAGAGACTTTGAAGATAGGGATAGTATCTATCTCTAAAACAAAAGAAAATTGCTTAAACCTTTGAAAGATAGAGATAGTGTCTTTCTCCAGAGTCAAAAGCATTTGTGTTTGTGTGTCTGTCTATGTCTGTATGGCCTATTTAAGGAGATACAGGATTTCCAGATTTCTCTCTTAGAACCCAACCTACCACATAATGGTGGGTGCCACTTCTTGGAGTCTTACCAGAAAAATTGGCCTTGGAGTAGTGATGAGAGGGCTTTGCATCTAAGGCTACTGCTATTGTAAAGGTTTTTTTTTTTTTTTTTAACTCTGATCCAGGGAGCTCTTGTTTCTTTTGGCATCTATAAATCTATGATGAAATTATGTGCAGCTTGCAAGCAAGGTATGGCCCCTCTTAATTCTCATAATCTCTCACTTAAACTCCACCTTTTCCTACTGGCTGAACATACAGTTTTCAAACTACATCCTGGAAGTTAAGATCTTATATCCCACAAGACCTCTTGAATTAATTAATGCTCCCCTGGGTCCACAGTTTTCCTAGGTCTTGACTTGTCTCTACTCACTGTGAAGTCATCTTTAGGCAATTTGGAGGATCTGGAATGAGAGATATATGCACAACTCTCCACCTGCCTATTCCCTAGAAATGTTTTTTGGTTCTAGTTGCCTCCAAAAATGTCTTCTCCTGGAAACACAGACTGTCTCCTTGATATGAATTTTTGCAGTGAATTATGAGTAGAAGTGTTATAGACCTGTTCCAAATTATCTTCTTTCCTCTCGCCAATTGGATGCCAGCAGTGACTATAAGGTCCTTGGGGGAACACAAATGAATTTGGCCCTGTGTTCATGTTCATGATACTGTGCATCCCACATTCAGAGTTCCATACCAGTCTCTAAAGTTGTTACCCTTCAACTATTATTATGCCCCCCCTTAAAATTGAGTATTTGTGAGATAGACCATGACAAATCTGTTCATGACTGGGTTTCAGTCATAGAGTGATTCAATACCATTTCACCACCAGTGTACATTTCTCACCACCAATGTTCCCCATTCCCCCCACCCCCACCATTCCCAAGTTCCCACTACCCCCTGAAGCCTGCCTCTGGGAGGCACTTTATCTCTCTCTCTGTCTCTCTCTTTCTCTTTCTATCTTTCTCTCTCTGTCTCTGTCTATCTGTCTGTCTCTCTCTTTCTCTTTCTCTCCCTCTCCCCCCCCTTTGTGTATTATGCTTTACAATACAGGTACTAAGAGATAATCAGGTTTGTTAGGGCATTCAGTATTTTTATCAGGAAGGTAAGGCTGGAATAACTTTTTTAATGGGTGGCAGCTTTGGGGTGTGGACATCACTGATTAGGATTCCAGAAGTGCAGGAAGATGGGGGGAAGTAGTCCACCCCAACCCTGAGAAAACCTAGAGAAACCGCATACCTGAATTTTCATCAGATTATATCTCAGTGAGGTCAGTCCTGAGATTACGTGGCCTGGGCCATGGCAGTGATTTTTGGATTGTGGGAGCAAGCAAACAGCTGCTGGGTTCTCTGCTTGGGTGGACACCAGGGTAACACAACCCCAAGCCCCTTTGATTTGCCCTAGTTTTTTCAACATTACATGGGTTCAAGATTAACTGCA